GTGGACTTCTATCCATTCAGGTGCGGTAAACTGGCGTATCGCATCTAAATGTGGAAAACCCGACCATTTAACATCAAAATTTCGTAAAAGAAGCAGTCCTGACGAAGAGGCCCTCTGTCCAGTGGTTGACGAAACTATACTTTTCATAGAATAATTTGGCGTTCACCGTGACCTTTGAGCTAGATGGTCAGTGCAAACTAACGCGACTGATACCCGAATACTGAAAAGCTCAGTACGCCCGATGTAACACTCACCCGTTGAACGCCCTTAGGCCCATGTTTTGACGTCTTCGCGTTGAAGCACCACCCAGAAAGTTAGAGCCCGTGCATTTGAAGGAGCTTAGGTACATGCTCTCAAATTTGAAGATTTATATGACATTGTCTGTCATGTAAAATACTGTGGCCTAATTAGTTTCCGTGTCGGTTTCATCAAAGGGATCATCAGTTAATATACAATACCAGATTTCCATAGCTAATTTGTGGCTACCGACACGAATGCCTTGAGAAAGAATGGCAAGATCTGTGCACAAAAGACGTCACCTAAGTCCTACGTAACTTTGACAAGGCTAGGAACAAATATTGACTGCCGGCAAGTTGAAGGAACGAAATTCTAGGGTAAGACCTTCAACCAGAACAAGCCCGATATCTGATGTTGAAAAACATCCTAGATTAAGGGAATTGCACAGATTTAGCAAATGCAGGGAGGACTGACCAAACGGGCGTGACATCGCAGATGATTGTCTGCGTCAATGATCGATGTGAAGCAAAATAGTCTGTCATCTAAGACACGAGTGGAAATAGAGAGATATGACCTGATATAATACACTATTCCTTCAACCCTCCCCCTGTTCCACTAACTTCTATGCATTTTGAAGTTATTTCAACCTCTTGGTCCCACCGGAATAGGCCAAAATCCTAGAGAATGACTAATCCTTGTTCAATACCAAAGGCTGAAAAGCTGGCCAGCAATAACTCTGTAACTCCGACTCCGTAATGCTGAAATAATGGAAAGAGTCCTGACGAGTTGTATGCGCTTCCGTCCGGCAGAAAACCGCTGACATATTGGATCAGGGTCAAAGCCGAATCGTACGTCTTGCAGCCACTTTATGCGAAATTAAAAAAGAGTTTGATGGAAGATACGGTACTTAGCCTGCTGCGCTTCTCCAAGATCTGTCACACTGTCTGACAAGAGGCCTTGTTATAGAAGCCGACTGCAAAGAATATCCCTTGTCTTATCATTTACAGGATCCAGTCTAACAAGATTACTTTTGTCATATTTAATTGGATACGAATGGCCACATGGAGGGCCTCGTGTCAAACACTAACAACAGTAGCGTCTTTCGGTTTGGTAGATGTATGCTTGATTTTCGATACGAATAAGCAGTGGTAATGTGGTAATTTTCAGAATCTACCAGTACAAACTGTATGAAGTTATTAAGTCGGGGTTGGCCGTGGCGTCTATCCGTTGTTAGCAAGCAGGATGAACATCTCAGTCAGTGATTACTGTTGTCTCCTTCGTTTCTACTGTCAGCTCGACCCATTCGGCGTATTATTGTGCGTCATCAACTTTCAACTGGCAGGAAAAGTCATACGTTCTCCTGTATAGTCATAGCACTCTTTTTGCTTCTGACACGCTTCTGAGTACACTGGCCGGATTGACAGGTTGCATCATCAAATTATCGTCGAAAACACGTACTGAAGTTCCCGACTTCGTTACATAAAACGAGGCAATCTATATTCTGCAACTCTCGTTATCGTGTCACTCTTGTATATTTGCTTCTATTCTCCACCCCAGATACCTATTCTCGCTGTCTGGGGCCCTGGTCCTTCTGAATGTGGTGCCTTGCTACGCATTAGATGGTCAGTGGATCCTCAAGGCGCTACTCGATCTCCTTCTACCGTCCTTCATCTGTGGCCGCCAGTTTAAGCGCATTCTCTTCTCCGGCATTATTGCTCTCGGAACCGGTCTTCTGTCTATCAATATTGTCCTCGCCCTTTGGTATTTGATCTTGGAAACCAGCGTGACGTCTACCACAAGTGTCTCCAGCCGGACCGCCTCCCCAACGCCCCTGTAACAAATGAAGTCCCACTCGTCATGTTCTCTGCATTCCTTGTACTACTCAGTTCTGTTTTTAACGCCACTTTCTACTTGTACATTATCTTTTTACTCTCTCTTGCCCACCGATGTGTTTTGTCTTTTAACCCCATTTTGCTTTATGCGATGATTTTCTTTGCTGTGATCCCATCCTTCACCCGTCCCCCTCCCCCTCCCTCCTCCATCATTTACAACCTTTCTGCTTTTGCTTGTCACCCTTCTTTCTTACCCACACCAGGGTCCTATCTTAAATCTCGTAATTGGCGGATGATTGGGCGGATAGATGGTGGTGGTGCCTGAGCTACCCTCCTTTGGTATGGTTTTCTTTCACTCATATTCTTGTATTTTTATTGGGTTTCGCCCAAACTTGCGCAAGGAAAATTGCCTATTGGTGACGCTCGCCTTGGTTTTTTCGTCACTAACTGCAATGCCGGTTTTCAAACTTACGAGGCCTGTCTGATTTGTTGATCTCAGTCGCAGCCATTATCGGCTGCTCAATCCTTCCCTCTAATCTGGTGCAGGACCTATAATAGAGGCTCGAACTGGTGTCAAGTGCAGGGGATGGGGTGATTTCAGCAAATCAAGCTTTCTGCAGCTTCCTATCCACAGGAACCGTATAAGGGCTGTTGGTAGGACGCATGCATTGCGTGCTAGAATGTTTATCTGCTGTGTGGGGTGGGGGTGGGAGGTGATCGTCCTGTGCACCGCCTATACCAAGTGATCTTTCGTGCCCAGCCTCTTTTTGACTACCTCTAGTAGAATACTATGATTGCTCCTTAGGGAGTCGTCGTGGAGACTCAAATTTAAGGCGCATTGTGCTGCTTTGATACCCTGTCATGCCGCATATCTGCGGAGCGGAGCTGAACTAACAGTCCTACTTATTGCCTTC